AAAAAAAAAAAAACCTTATGTTTACTGAGGTACGACTGTATATGGATAATACTTATATTAGAGAATATTTGAATAAGAAAGCTTTGACTTCAAAAGTTTGAATTATACAAACTATTTACTTGATATTTTTATACCCATATCCTTTTTTCTACATTACTACCACTCAGCACTTTTTAATTTAGTACTTGTTTTTTTTAATCTTATTTTACTTTTCTCTTAATTTGTATTATGCATAATTGGTGTTTATTTAGTATTTTTATATATATATATATATATATATATATATATATATATATATATATAACCTTTATGCTTGTAAAAATACCTTAAAGGTGATGAATTTGCTGTTTGAGCAAAAACATTGAGACATTAAAAAAAAATAGTTCAGAATATTGGTCAATTATTGATCAGCATTGCAATATGAAATATAAATCCTGTAAAATGCCTTGGAGTGTTACGTAATTTCAGAAAACACAATCTCTGATCCTCATGCACACAAACCAGACAACAGTCATGACAAGCACAAAAAAATGATATAAATTAAGAATCCCTTTATTACAGATAATGTTACAGATGTTTAGTTCATTACAATGGTCAGACATTTATTTAGGACAAAGATGTGCAAAGGTTTAGTATGGCCGCATAGAACATCTAATCTCAGCCTAAAACTCTGCCTGTCAGCTAGTAAACCTGTGACCAGAAAAATAGAGGGGATTGCTCTAAAATATAGTAAAAATCAGTATTTTGAGTGGTTAGAGGAGATGATGGATGTCTTAAGAGTTATTCTGCAAGTGCATTTGACAAGAAGAGGAGAAGGGGAGTCATTATTTTAGGGATGAAAAACTGTCTCAGTAACTGCGACCAAACAGCGTGTAGAACTGCGCAGGCTCTTTGCCGCTGACACACATCTGACCGGCCTGCAGGGTCTTCAAGGGCTCGAAGGGGATACACAGACTCTTGGCTCCCATTCAGATTTGTGAACAATATTTGAGAGAAATAGGCCTTTTGTGTACATAGAAAAAGTCTTAGATCTTTGAGTTCAGCTCATGAAAAATGGGGGCAAAAACAAAAGTGTTGCGTTTATAATTTTGTTCAGTGTATATATATTTATTTATTTTGTTTCATAAAATTGATATTTATGTTTCTATTGTTAATTCTTTTCTGTTCTGACATCATGAGTAGGGCTGGGTTTTGACAAATTTCACGATTTGATTCGATTCTCATTCACAAGCTTGCGATTCGATTCCATTACCAATTCGATTCGATTCGATTCAATATCTATTATTTTGGATAAATATCAGGTACAGTACATACCAAATTTTCTCAAGGAAAACAATCTCTCATCTAATGCTATAAAATATACATTTTGACATACACAGAGTCAGTTGGTACTACATTACTATAATATTGAAGGTTAAAATTGACTGATTTGTTCAAATTACACTTAATGAAGTTTTTAAAATAATAAAGTTACAATTACATAATAATATTTCTACCATCAATTCGTTTTTTTTATATAAACAATGGTGGCTGTCATAAAAACTTGATGGATTTATTCAAACAAATTAAACATTGAAGAACAGTAAAATGTATAATGAATATGTTATATGGTGCATATATTTAACAAAATGCTCCTCTCTACAGTTCATTTTCATATCTGACTAATGAGTTTATGGTCACCGAATATGTTTTTCGGAGGTAAATGTGACGTTACGTGACATTGTTTACAAGCTGTTATATTGACGTCTTTGCGCGGCTGAAACACTGATTGAGAGATTACATGACAAGATACAGATTGTAAAGTTGTACTCTTTCTTTTAACTTACCTTCAGATGTTTAGTCATGTTTATTTTGTGCCGAAGCTGGTATTAATGTGGAGGAGATTATCAGATCATGTGCGCCTCACGCTGCTACGTCTGTTGAACTGAGGCGCTACAGCGATCTGTCACTCCACATTAAACAGTGCCAAAACAGCATTTATTGTTTGAATACTGCAATACAATGGGCAGAATTTGAAATCTGAGACTTTGTTTCATATTAAAAGTACAAAAGCACAATGCTTATTGCGATTTATTGGATGGGAGGTGCCCTTCAACATTCCGTCCATTAACTGAAAACAGGCTAGATTAATCGTTTCTTGGGATTTAAGAATCGATATAGTTCCGTAAAAATGAGAATCGATTAATATCGAGATAGATATTTTTTACCCAGCCCTAATAATGAAATTGTCACAAAAGAATATTGTGAAAGGAAATATTTTTTTAAATAATATTTTCATTATTTTAGCCTTTAGTAGTGACAATATAAGAGTTTTAAAAGAAATTTATATATTTAAAACACTTAAAATAAAACACACTCTATATATATATATATATATATATATATATATATATACACACACATACATACTATATATTGTTTCTATTTAAAATTAAATATATAAATTAAATATATATTCACTTAATCTAATATACAAAAAGTTGTCTATAATATCATGGTTGTGTGCAGCGAAGAGCATAACGAGTCACACGACCCCTCCCCCTCCGGTTGGTGCGAGCGGAGTCACCTGTGTGTAGGATAGAGGTCTGCAAGCCCGAGTCCATTCGGGCCGGGTTCGGGCCATTTTTTGTTTTTACAGATCGGGCTCGGGTTTGACTCGGGCTCATTTAGTTTCTCTCCTTTTATTGCGCCATATATGCGCAGAATGGCGCTCTGTTCCGCGGCAGGATTTTCTTTTGAGTTTGAAGTTTCCCGCTCTGTGCAGCGCGCAGTGTCACGTGTCAAAACAACCCGGAAAACTATCGGCATTGATTATTGCCGATAACCGATAGTTCTGCCAATAAACTATCGTTGCCGATTAATCAGCAAAACCGATGGATCGGTCGACCTCTAATTGTGAGTGCACACAAATAAAAGTAGACCCTTTACAGTTCCGAGTGATGTATTACTCTTACCTTTATGAGCAATAATTACGGCATATTTTAAGTTGTTTCCAATGCAAGTGATCGCGCCAGCGCCTCCATGTCCTGTAAAGCGCGCTTTAGCTCTCCGCACAAACGATTATATATGTGTCTAATAGCGCACATTTATATAGGTAAAACATTTAAACAAACATTGTAATATGCTTGAACTGTTTTATATCTATAGATTTTATTTTAGGCAAGTCGTGATTATTTGAGAAGGCTAAATTGATCAAACATAGGCTATGATCAACTCACTGTCTGCCGCTGGATGCTTGGTCGTTACTTTAAACAAACAAAAGCTTACATTCAACGAACAAAAAAATGCTCCAAACGTTTTTCTAAATTAACTTAATAAAAAACCGAAACGAAATATAATGACTTTGACATTACATACAAAACTGAACTATTTTAATAGCTGAAACAGTAGTATAACCTGTTTTGGGAGAAGGGGGAAAAAAAAGATGGGCTCGGGCCAAGAATTCTGATGAGCTGTCGGACCCGGGCCGGGCCAGGGCCTGAGCGTCTCGGGCCAGGGCCTATATTTGAGACCCGTGCAGGGCTCTAGTGTAGGATGGCCGAAGGAGATGAATCCCTGGAACTTTTTCCCCCGTCGAAAAAGACTAAGTCTGTCGTATGGGAATTTTTCGGGTGACTAACCCTGTTCCGTACACAACGATGTTCCGTACAGATGACGTTTTAGCGCCGATCGCTAAATAAATACTTCCAAGTCGAACATAAACTATATATCTGTGTCATCTTAATTTCTCCCTCTTTCACCCCCGATCAAGACAGAGACCTACCCGCCATTTGTTTCAGTGTTGAAATAAATACTATTTGGCTTGCTACCGAGGCAGATAACATGGCTAATTAACTAACTAACGTCAACTAGTTTTCTCCCTCACGTTACTTCACACAGTGAGGAATAGCAGTCTAAAGTACGTACTGTAGCCTACTTTTCTGCGATTTAGTACAATAATTAAATTTAGCTGGTATCACATCTATACTTTTAAGCCTCCTGCCATTGTTTACATCTGTTCAAAATCACGCATTTAAAAAAAACAAAACAACTTTGCCACTGTTTGAGTGTTGTACGGAGAGACCGCGCGCGCGCATGTTTGTGTGTGTGACACTCGCGCTCTCTCTTTCCTGACGCTGCATGTCGTGCCAAACCTCTCACAGCAGCGTCATCAGCTTGAGATCGGCCTTTTTAGAGACCGCCGATCAAACATCTCAAAGCGATTATCGGCCGATAGTGATCGGTAGCTGATCA